GACACTCTATAAGGACCCCATACATCTAAATGAATTAGTTCTCCAAGTTTAGATGAACTATGAACACTATGAGGAAAAGACTCACGAATTTGTTTTGCTTTGTGACAAACATCACAAGGAGGAAGACAAGAATTATCAAAATTAAGAGTATCTTTTAAAGAATTTAAAGCTTGTTCAGCGGGATGACCTAATCTACTATGCCATGTAAGTTTAGAAACACAACACTTAACATGATTACAAGAACTGATACCTAAAGGAAAAGCATCTAGATAATACAATCCCCCAGACTGTCTACCATTCTCCACAACTTTCTTTGATTGTAAACCCTGAATTTTACAACAATTTTCATTAAAAAAAACTTCACAATTTGTGTCTTTGCATAACTTGTGAACAGAAAGAAGATTTACATTAAAATCAGAAACAAAAAAGACATCAAAAAGTGTTAGTTTTTCAGAATACTGTAAATTCCCAATTTTTTCAATTTTAGCAGAAGAACCATTAAGGCGATTAACAAGAAGATTCACTTAGAAACATCAACAGTATCTTGTAACAGAGACTCATATGAAGTTATATGTTGATTTACACCTGAGTAAACAATCCACTTTTAATGATTGACAGTAGAATTATAAACATTAAAAGAGGGAATACCTGCCATATTGGCATTGACAAAAGTATCCTTAGAAGTTGAGGATCTTTCATTGATAAGACTCAAGAGCTTATTATATTGGTCACTTATGAAACAATATGTTCCATCATTTCCAGAGACACTAGAAATAACACCAGAAGAAGAAGCACTACTAGAAGGAACAGAAGAAGAATTAACAAAAAATGTCTTATTTTGGTTTCTTTGATTATTACTAATAGACTCATTTCTAGGTTTAAAATCTTTTGGATAACCAATCAGTTTATAACATTTGTCAATAAGATGTCCCTTAAGACCACAGTTCCTACACTGGAAATTTTGATTTCTACCTCTATTAGAATTAGAACTCTTTTTATCATTAAATGCAGATGATTGAGTTTTAGACACATTAGACAAAGAAGTCAAAACTCCATTCTTCTGATGAGACACCTCTCTAGAAACAATTGAGAAAGCAGTTTTAACATTTGGAAGAGGTTCCATTAAAAGAATATGAATCTTTACTTTATTACAAGAGTCATCAAGACCACTTAAAAACTGCATTAGTTTCATAAGTTTTGAATGATCATTATACTTAGTAGCAGCTTCACAAGTACACTCAGTAAGATTAGTAAGACCATCAAACTCTTTCCAAAGTGTATCTAGTCTATTAAAGTATTCAGACAGAGAAGATCCATCTTGTTTAAGTGAATTAATTCGTTGATGTATATTAAAAATAACAGACCTATCAGCCTTGTTATAGGTTTCAAAAAGTTCATTCCAAATGTCTACAGTAGATTCAGAATAAGCATGCCCAAAATAGATTGACTCAGACAAAGACCAAAGGATCCAAGAACAAACTACAACATTAGCACGTTCCCATTTTGAAGACTTGATTTCATCCTTAGAATCATTTATTACAGTTCCTTCTACAAACCCTAGTTTATTTCTAGCCTTAAGACTCCTTATCATAGAGCTACGCTATACACAAAAATTATCGTTCCCAGTTAATTTAAAACTCACAATTGTAGTTACAGTATTATCAAATGGATGTATATACATAGGATCATCGTACTTCACGGAATCAACCTTTGAACTACTACCAGTCTCAGGAGGAGAATCAACCATATTCACACAAAATTAAGCCAAACAGAAGAGAACAAAGACTACTATGATCCTTATATGTTCAGATGGTCACCACAGTATGTCGGGGCCCATGACAAGAATCACAGAGTAAAAAAACCACAAAGCATCAAGAAATAATAACTGGTGTACACAAGACAACCAGGATCTCGCACATCTACAGCTAGAATAAGAATAGAAGGGAACAAGAAAACTCTCACAGAGCTATAAGTTGATCAGATGAGACAGACCGACTCCTGTTACTCTGTTCTCTTCTAAAGGATAGTGGTGATGAAATCTGTTATCAAGAGTTATTTCAGAGAACAGGATTAATCGACCGAAGAACGAAGAATCAACTTGTCGATCAAGGATCTCCACTTGACGATGACAACAATCACTCAAGGATCTCCACTTGAAGACATAACTACAAGATTACAAAGAAACTCGCAGTACCAAAATCTCAAAGGAAAACAATAACTAGAAGATGATCCAGATCAAACTGACGATCATCCCGATCAACAAAAGAACCCTAGATGTTCACGGAAGGGTTAGATAAACTGAGATTTCAACAAAAACCACAGTACGAACTCATCTATGAAGATCTACAAGGATCTAACCAAGAAAAACACTAAAGAAACAAGAGCACCTTTATGAAGATGATCATCAAGCAGAAATCGAAGCCCTAATGCTCTGCTACCATGTGAAAAACATAGAAACTCATCTCCCCAACATTGTCATCTATTATATCAATTTAGGACAAATGGACGTATGGTTTTCAGATACTTACAAATGAAACCTCACTACATAAATCCTACTCTACACTCTTAACAAAACACTCATCCTAATTTATTGATTAAGAACAGACGAAGAACAATTAGGTTATACAAACCCTAATGTCTTATTAAATATAGAGAGAATAGAGAGACTAACAAAAAATATCTAGTGGATAATGACGAATCAGTCTTCCATCCTATAACTTATACACCGAGTAAACAAATATTCTGACCCGCGTGTTAACCCACGTGATTAATAAGCAAAACCTTCAACCTTAGTCCACAACTTCCAATAATTAACACTATCAACCCATAAGCTATAAATTCATATCAAATCTTATCTAGATAACTTCTATATAACATCCAGCACAATCTCAAATGACAAGTTTGTAACATTGACAATATTTAACAAGTTATATATGAAGCAAAAAAGTTTAGGAACCACCTTGATATTTTGTAGGACCTACCTTATTATATCGAACCAAAATGGATGATCAATTTGTAGGACATAATTAACTTATTTATAAGTTTATATATACCTATCCCACATCGACAATATAGTAAAAGCTATATGGGTTTTGTTACTTATAAAAAGGAAGGTGATTGGAAGATATATTTTGTATTTTTTGAACAAGCATTCTAGCTCCTACTCCAACATTGTCGAGTAGAGTTATCAAGTAAAAAAGTTAACGATTCAGACTTGGTTTATTTCATGTTTAAATTGGTTATAGTTATTTGATATTTATTTTGTATGTTGAATTGATTTTTATTGGTATAACCTTGTTTAAAAAAAAGTTGGATAAGTTGGACCAAGTTTGAAAGATTTCCGATTTCCTTGGCCAAGTAGACAAATCTCGCCTCAGTAGACACTTGAATCCGAGTAACTTACGGAGAACTCAATCAAATTGTCCGAATTTTATAACACTACATACGACCCAACCCACAACTCCACAACTAGTATTTATAACTCTCATTTTTATCAATTTTACTTAAATAGAAAATCATAATAAGAAACCATGCAGTTTTCTATTAGATACCATATATTTTCAAACTCTTTTCCTACTATAGTCATAACATTTAATATTTTTCCTTCTATAGACTCGCCAATTTCTAAACGAAATTTCCAAATCAAGGCTGACATATACTTATGTGCTGTTTGTTTTTTCTGAGGCAAAATGTCTGCAGTCTGCGGACCACATCTGTAGACCTCTGCATTAGAAGAGGTGGACCAAACGTCTGCAGTCTGAAAAAAGAAGACTGTTTGTTTTTTTTAACATATGCGGGCTATTAAAATAAACTGAAATCTAAATAAACTGATTTTTTAAAACTTCAAAGTGAATTTTTTATATATTTTTACGACTTTATTATAAATATATAACGAATCTAGATCAACTTTTATGTATTATTATATAAAAAATAAAAATAAAAATGGTATTAATTCATATACATATTTGATAAAAACCAACAACTTTGATTGTAAAGTTATAACTAAACATTACAATTAGTGATCAAAGAATTTGATACATAAATAGATGGAAATAAACTTCGATTTTTTCAAATAAATCTATTAAAAAACGTACGATAAATATTTTCTCGAGAAATTGATCATACTCTATTAAATAAAGTTTTACAAAATTTTGGCAAAAAAATATAAGAATATATTATGATTTTTTTTTTCATATTTATATAAACAACTTCAACGACTATTATTATAATAAATTTTTATTTCTAAATTTGTTAAAAATATCATGTTTGTATCGTCAAATGTTTTTTTTTTAAGTTTTGTAATTTTTTTTTTCATATTGTTTATCATTAATAAAGTTGGAAAAAATATAAATTAAAAAAAAAACTTAAAAAAAAATAAAGATATATATGTTTTTTTAAGCTAGAAGATGTCTGAAGATGTTAGAAGACTCTGGTCCACATCTGCGCTAAGAAAAGGGCGCGCAGACATTTTTAGGTCTGCAGTCTTAAAAAAAACAAACAGTCTGCGAAGACTAATGTCTGCGCGGCGCAGACAGAAAACATCTCGCAGATCTGCAGATAAAAAACAAACACCACCTTACTCTTTCAACACAAGTGTAAATGAGGTTGAAGCGTCTGTTATATAACTTGTTGGTCTTATGCATTTTATCGTTCGCATATCGTTTTTTGACTTTACATATGTTGCAAGTTACTTGTTTCTATTTATAAAAACAAAAATACACATTTCTATTAATTTTGACCAACATATTTTTGTTGACTTGTTTGCTTAAATTACAACCCCTCATATTTTGCATCACGCGTTCTCGCCTCCAAGTGGCAAATCCGTTGACGTTTTCAACTACCCTCATTCCTTTATAAATACCCCCACCCCCTTCACTATCCTCAGTTCAAAACTTCTTTCATTTCATCTCTTTTGCTTTCAATTTTCATTGGGTTAATCTCATAATCAATCGTTTTCTTAAATAAAATTTGAAATTTCTTGTAAATTACTTCGATTAATCATGAGGGGTTTGCTTTATACATCAAAAGCTTCGTCACCTTCATATTCTTATGCTCAATCTCCGGCGAGGTCGTCGAAAGCTTCGTCACCTACACATTCATTTGCTCAATCTCCGGCTAGGACTCCAAGGTCTCCCATGAGCACTCCTTCTCATCATCAAACCTTTTCTGCTTCGATCATTGAAGAAGATTTGTTGTATGCCGAACAAATCATCCGGAGGTGGGACCTTGATTCTCCGTTTTATACAAAAATGGATTATCTGTTCACCGGAGACAGACGTGAAGCTCGATTGTTTGTGAAGTCTGTTACGAATTTGCAGTCGGCGATGCATTCCTTTGTTTCGGAGAGTGCTAGCTCGGAGAAGATCATTCATGCTCAGAAGTTAATGCAGATTGCGATGAAGAGATTGGAGAAGGAATTTTATCAGATTTTATCCGCGAATAGAGATGTTCTTGACTCCGAGTCTGTTTCTAATCATTCCTCAAGAGCTAGATCAAGTGTTTCAGATGAAGACGATGCTTCCGAAGAAGATGATCGGATTTCATCGTCTGGAAACACAGTGTCCGACGGAGAAAGAGTTTCCGTTTCAGAAATAGTTATGGCTGATCTTAAATCGGTTGCTGATTGCATGATCTCTTCTGGGTATGCAAAAGAATGTGTGAAGATATACAAAATTATCAGGAAATCCATTGTTGATGAGACACTGTATAATCTCGGAGTTGAGAAATACAGTTTAAATCAAGTTAACAAAATGGAATGGGAAGTAATCGAACCCAAAATCAAAACCTGGGTACACGCTGAAAAAGTTGCTGTGAAATCTCTCTTCTATGGCGAAAGAATTCTCTGCGACTACGTGTTTTCGTCGTCGGAGAAGATCAGAGAATCGTGCTTTTCCGATATCTGCAAGGAAAAAGCAATTCAGCTGTTTGAATTCCCGGAGTTTGTAGCGAAATCGAAGAAATCAATGGAGAGAATGTTCCGAACATTGGATCTATACAACGGGATATCGGAACAGTGGCCGGACATCGAAATGATCTTCTCGTTCGATTCAATGGTGGTCGTTCGGACACAGGCCATCACTTCACTCGTGAAACTCGGCGACGCCGTCCGAGCAATGTTAACGGATTTTGAGGCGGCGATTCAGAAAGAAACATCCAAAACTCCGGTCCACGGCGGCGGCATTCATCCTCTAACACGTTACGTAATGAACTACTTAGTTTTCTTAAGCGACTACGCCATAGCACTCTCTGACATTGTTGCCGACTGGCCACTTCAGATCCAGTCGCCATTGCCGGAATCGTACTTCTCAAGCACCGGTTCGGAAGAATCGTCGTCCATCTCCGCCCGCTTCGCATGGCTGGTGCTGGTTTTGCTCTGTAAAATCGACGCCAGCGCTGAGCTCTACCGGGATGTAGCTCAGTCGTACCTTTTTCTAGTCAACAACTTAAACTACATCATTTCAAAGGTTCATAGCTCTAATCTAAAACTCCTGATCGGAGAAGATTGGTTAGTGAAACACGAACAGAAACTGAAACAATACGCTGCAAATTACGAACGAATGGCATGGAGTAAAGTTATGACATCGTTGCCGGAGAATCCAAACAATTTACCGATTGAAGCAGCGAGGGAGTGTTTCAGACGTTTCAATCTTGAATTCAACAACGCATGCCGGAAACAAGCCACCTGGGTCATCCCCGATTCGAAAATGCGAGACGAAATTAAAATCTCGGTGGCGAAAAAGATATCGCCGGTTTACCGGAATTTTTACGATAGATACAGAGATGTTTTCAGAGGTGTTGATTCAGTTGTCAGATATGCACCAGACGATTTGGGTAATCACTTGTCGGACTTGTTCCATAGTACCGGTGGTCCCGGAAGCTCCGGCACCGGTACGCCGTCGCATTCATCTTCGTCTTCTAGCCCTTTGTCGCGACGCCGGTGATGCTGCCATGGAGAAATATTGTTTTATTGTTTGGGATAAATCATAAATGTAAAAAGACAAATTTATTTTAAGAAATAGAATTTCTTTTTTTGGATAAACAATTGGTTGTTTTTTTTAATGCTAAATATTATATTATAATTCATTTTCTATGACCCCAAAAAATCAAGATACATTATTGTTAAGATGTTGAACAATTCATCATTTAGAAATTTTAAAAGTTAAGCTAAATGATTACGTTAACTTTTAAATAACTTAATCAAAAAATTTATATTGATTTTGTTTTTTAATATAAAATTAATTGTCCAAACCGGCGAATATTTATAAACTGATTAGAAACAAGACCTTTTGCCGTTCAAAAAAAGGAAAATGAGAAAAGACCTTTTCTTGTTCAATTAAGGAATAAATTTAATATTTCCAAAGCTATTCGATACTATTTATGTTTATCTTTTAAATATTTATGTAGTACATATGTAACGACCAAAACGTTTTATATTAATTTAAATAATAAAATCATTAAATGCTAAGACGTGATCAACAATACAAATATTTTTCATTCAAAGTTCCGCATATATAAAATGAATTTGTTGATAAAAACAAAACGACCTTTAAATTTTAGATAGGGTTGATTTAAGTTCATTATTACATTTATTTTATAAGAATGAAGTTATTTAATAAACTAAAAAAGTAAAGGATCAATAATAATGGTATAAGATATCGTAGACGAACTATTTTAATATGATAATATTAAGGGTAAATTATATGAAACGTATTTGTTGCTTTGAAGTAATTTGTATGTTTGGTCTAAAGTTGTTAAAATCGGATCCTATATAGGATCATTTTTGAAATTGAAGATCGAGATCGTGATCCTATGATCCCACAAAATAAAATATTTTTAAATTATAATTTTTAATCATGAAAAATATTTTAAACATTTAATTTTTCATTCAAAAGTTATAAAAACTTCAAAATATTAATCATAACAAAATGATAAATGGTAAAAGATATAAAGTGGTAAAAAAAATTATTTGCAAAAAAAAAAAAGGAATGTAGGATCGGATCTAATCTCGATCCTACGATCTTACGATCCTACCCCAAATACGATCCGTTTACGATTCGGATCGTTTTTCATACGTAGGATCGTACGATCGGGATTGCGATTTTGACAATCATGGTTTGGTCTATAATTTATTTTTTAAATCCGGGCGGTCCTTATTATATAGTTTTGTTGCAGATTTGGTTCATGCCGATCTTAAAAAGACTTATTTACCCTTATGGATTTCTTTTGTCTTTTTTTTTTTTTTTTTTTATAGGGTTTAGGTCATTTTTGATTATTTAACTTTTAGTTTTTTGCTCATTTGGTCCATTAACTCTTTTTAAGTTTTAAAAGGTTATCAAACTTTTGACTTTGTGCTCATTTGGTCATTTAACTTTTAGGTTGGTCACATTTAGTCACCTAACTTTCAAAATTGTGCTCATTTAGGCACTAAACTTTTAAATTTTTTCAACAGTTTGGTGACTAAATGAGCATAATTTTAAAAGTTAGGTGACTAAATGAGCACAAATCTAAAAGTTAAGCGATCAAACCAAAACTTAAGTGACTAAATGAGCACAAAGTTAAAAGTTTGATGACATTTTAAAACTTAAAAAGAGTTAAGTGACCAAATGAGCACAAAAACAAAAGTTATGTGACCAAAAATGACCTAAACCCTTTTTATATTATCAATTAACTAAAAAAACATATTAATTAAATATAACAAGAAAGTATTAATGAAATATGTTGGTTTGATTGAAAAACCCACACCATCGACCCCTCCTACCAGCCCATGCTTATGTTTGGTTGCCGAAAAATCTCACACTTCCGTTGGAAAATCAGAATTCTGGTAGGAAGATGCAAAATTTGTTCTACCCACATCATGGCCAGGACATGTCATAAAAGATGTACAGATCGCAATATATCTAGAAAAGCAAAGATCTTGGCCGGAAAAACATATGGCAAAAAATTGCACGTATTTGTTCCATCGAAAAAACACACGAAGAAACCACAAGGAAAAAGTACATAGAAAAAACCCATGAAAAACGAACAAATTATCAAAGAAACTGCTTCAGCTCGACTTAAAACCTACAAACTTCCTTTCTTCTTCTTCCATGTATCACTTTCATCTCGTATTTATCGGTTATAGATCTGAAATGGTTTCCTTAACTTCACACCGTGACTATAAATGTGCCACCCAAACATTATTCATTTTCACACTCTGTTTCAAACTTCGACCATCCCTCCTTCATCTTGCATTGATAACCACAAAACATACAAATAAACCCATCACAACAATCAAACTCCACCATCGCAATATAGTAAATGTTGGAAATTATAGAGGCAATCTTGCAAGTTGGCAAATTCTCTCTATCCCACATTGGTGGGGGAAGAAACCTTGTGTAGGTTTATAAGTCTTTTTTTCCTTGATAGGCCTTCAAAGGTTTTAGTGGATCAAAGGAATGGGCCAAGCCACACACATGAGCCTACCCTAGCCGACGTCGCGAGTGCGCGATTTAGGCGCACTTGGCATGACGCATTAGTAGCTGGGAGCTGATGAGGTTTAATTTTTGGCGAAGTTCAGATCAAGTCAGCTTGACCGATCTGGTCAAACGGTTGACTTCGTAGATATGGAAATAGAATATTATGGAAGGGTTAGAAAATGGCTAGCTTGGAGAGCAAGTCATCGCCCTAGGGTTTCCAGGGGCTGACCCATGTGGACCTTTTTTCTGCCTTCTAGGGTTTTGATGCCTATAAATACAGCTCCATAGGAGCTGTATTTGAAACTCACAAAAAATTGAAAGCACTCTCATTCTCTCTACGATTTCTTCCCAGTTTCTCAATATTCACTTTGCGTTCATCGTTTTTCATTATTATTGGAGACTCGGTAAATTTGCATTAAATTTTGGGGTTTTACTCTGTTGCTTACAGACGATAGAAGCGAAGTAAAAACCATTAAGGACATAAGTTCAATCCATACAGTTATTACACACTCAAGATCAACCGTTAACAGGTCAGTTTTATTTTATTGTCTTGCGTTTATTTCATCCAATAACATGACAATCTCCTTCTACCTTTCTTATAATTAGATATAATCGAGAAGAATTAATCTGGTTTCTGGATGAAACTTGGTAATCATATTAATTATAATTGGATCTATTATTCGCAACTAATCGACATATAATTCTCAATATTATTTGTCGATTTCTTTGCGTGTCTATTGGTTCTGATTTACAACCACAAAGATCGGCAACTTGTAACGTCTTGAAAACAGTACTAAAATTTTTTATTTTGAAAGTCTATCAAATCATTCATTAATTGTTCAAAATCAACACCAAGTCTTAATATTCAAAACATTAGAGTATAAACATTTAAAATATAGAAATCATGATGGGAGGATGTTGTATCATCACATCCGGCTCTTCCCTTTCGAACCGGAAGTACCTGAAACAATAAACATAAGTTGTAATCACAAAGCTTAGTGGGTTATTCAAAATACCAGATTCCAAAACATACAAGTGCCACGGGCTACCCACATGGTCTTTCCTTGCAATGTCGAGGGCCAAATCCCGGTCTTACATACAAGTGTCATGGGCTACCCCCATGGTCTTTCCTTGCAATGTCGAGGGCCAAATCTCAGTCTTACATACAAGTATCATGGGCTAGATCCTGGTATTTCATAAAATTCTCGGTGTCCAGATCCTGGTCTTTCATATAATTTCCAGGGGCCAAATCCTGGTCTTTCATACAAGTATCACAGATACAACTAGTATCCCACATAACAAGTAATAGGCCAACATTAGTGCCTTCGACCCATGGATCAAGTACGAAAACTCACCTCACAGACAGATAAGCAAACTGAATAGCTCGCCGCTCCGAGATCAACTCTACTAGTCACCTTAAATAATTCAATAACACTATCTTAACATCCAATCAAAATACGTAAAATACCCCTCGGTCAAACACTAGTAAAAATCCAGGTCAAATCCAACCGAGTCAATCGAGTTGACTCAGTAAGTACGCTGGCATACTCAAAATGAACGTGGGGCGTAACGCTTGGCTGACTAGAATCGGGGAGATGACCATATACGTGCAGTGTATCCCTTGGTACGCCTAGCATATGTGATTGTCCACCACTTTATCCATTAAGTGCTTAATCCTTAAGCACACATGTCAAAATTCCAAATCTAGACCCTAAAAGGTGATCTTAAACATAATGTTTCCAACTTTATGGTTTTGCATGGCTATTAAGATCTTAATAACAAAAACCCTAACTTATTGACCTATTAAGACAATTTAGATCATGCGTGGGAAGGAACCAAATTCCAAGATCATATATTTTTAACATAACACACCCTAAAGCATTTGGAAGGACAACTTAAATGTATTGGAGTAATCTATACTCACAAAGATCAAGTTTGGGATAAAAAACTGCCAAGTTTAAGCTAGAACTAGATCTAAATGAAATACTCATCAAGGTTGGAGCTTTGTACCTCCAAATGGTGCACAATGAAGAGAAAATGTTGGATCCAAAGTCTTGAGAGCAAAGCCACTTCCTTGATGATCTTCTTTTACAAACAAGAAGACCCACAACTCACTCAAAATATCAAAAAGCTCAAAGTGGATTAGGGTTTAAAAGGTGGATCGATTATAGGAGTGGAGGCTGCTAAGAGGAAAGGGTTTAAGGCTATAATGGTGCTTATATAGTGCATAAACCCTAAATATTAGGGTTTAGTCTATAACGCCCGTATATCCGGGCTAGTCAATTAAAGACGTTAAGCGTCAAAAATGACTTTTTGATAGAAGGTTATTTTGAAGGAATAATCTTAATTAAGTTATAGCATATGTTACAAGGTTTCCGTACATATAAAGAACGCCGAAATCCGAGTTAAAACGAAGAAGTTATGACCTGTTGAAGTTTCGCGACAGAACCGGCACGACACAGCGCGACGTAAAAAGTGAATTTACA